AAATGCATGTATTTTTTTAAAATAGTGCATAATGACGTGCGACGAATACCCAGTTCTTGAGAACGATGGCTGGTAGACGTCTCAGAGCGCTCCACTACACTTTCACGAACTCTCACGATAGTTTCCGGAGTACGAACAATTTGAACATGGCCCGATCAAGGCAAGTCTTTAACATCACCTGTTTGTTCAAATTTCCCACCAACTGACGAATTGTGTTGACACTGGGCACATTATTTCGACCGCAATCTTGTCGTAGCTTCCGTTGTTGGATCGTGCAGCGCTCCATGATGAATTGGATACACGTGCTTTAAACAACTACTACGGCGCCACCTACTCAGGTGCGTATATCAAAAATGGCGCGCAATTTAAATCAGTCAGTAATATATTGGCCACCCTGTATAAAATGGAGTCAAGTGGGTTTATGTTTAGCACAAGTTAGCACCTCTGAGAAAGAAGTTAGCTATGAGTATGTATAAATAAAAAATTAAATGTATTGAGTCAGTCACGCAGATCTACAAAATTAGTCCATATTCCCCACCCAGTAAAGAACGTTGTAAACGAGAGATTTTCCCCTCCTTACCGACAGTATAGGCCATCTCGCAACGTTGCTATGATTGCCCTCGCCTCTCGCCAGCCGCGACAACTACCCATCGTTGAGACAGTGACGTAGGTATGCATTAGGATATTTTATACTCATGCAGCCGCGTAGGCAGAAGCCGAAATATCATGGCACTCCTCTGAACAACATCCATCGTGAGTAAGATAGTAGGGGCGCCAGTACCCGTACATGCAAGCAGTTCTCGAGATTAGGTCTTATATGAGGCTTGTAAAGAGCGAGGAAGTCATGTGGAGGAAAATACTTCTTAACCCTACACTGCTCACTAGATAAAGAAAAATGACAAATAAAATGTTTTATCTATAACAAAAGAACAGACTAAACTAATAAAGGTTTGAGTAAGTCATAGAGTAAAAATATCCCCTTTTCTATTTCAAGTGAATCAAACTTTAAGAAGAAAATCGGCTATTATCATGAATATTAGTAAATAAACAGCAAATTGCGGTTTATCAATGCGAGTTTTCTGCGTCCCCTGGCTAAAATCTGTTTTGCTGCTCTTCGTACAATATGTCAGCTTTAGAAAACATCATCAATCTCTCAGTGTATACGCTGCTACAGGAAGACGGGATATATGCTTTGACAAACCTTGCTAAATTAGATATTTGTTATGTTCTGACAACAAATTTCTGACGATTGTGAACAGTTGCAAGCAATTAACCAATTCAGTTTGACGCATGGATTTTGGTACCAATTTTTTTTAAATTCTTTTGGTCAACTGAATCTGACGGTTACATACCGTTTGTAAATCGTTGCAAGAACATGGCTTTTGCTTACAGTGCTCACCATGCATATGGGCTGTCACTTCGCTTAATTCAAGGCATGTTCAGGTAAATGTCAAGTTCTCCAGCAATAGCATTTTTTGTCTGATGTGCAATTTGGCTTTCCGTCTGAGCATAGTACGGAGCTACAGGCAGCTGGACTGGTGGATCATGTAACCAGGGGGTACACCCTCAACAAAAGTACTGGTATCTTGCTTTTAGATGTATGAAAGGCACTGACAACGTGTGGCACATGGGTCTCTTGTATATAAGCTCATCCAAAAGGGTTTTCCATTTTGGCTACTAAATCTGTTGAAATATTTTCTAGAAGGGAGCGAGTTTCGGATCAAAATTAACAATGTGTTGTCCCGTAAGAGCTGGAGTTCCTCAGGGTTCGGTCTTAGGACCAATCCTTTATTCACTTTATATACTTGACGTCCCTTGCACCAGCAACTGTGAAGTCCATCTCTATGCTGACGACACTGCGCTGCTAGCCCAGTCACGTTCTGGTGGTGTCTGCAGAGTGTGGTGGAGGAAGTATTGGAGTGGGCGAATCAGTGGTTGAATTAAATTGATACTTTGAAAACGCAGAGGCAATCTATTGTACTAAAAAACGTCGCGGTGTCCCATCAGAGATATCATTGAATGGAACTCGTATACCATGAAAGCAATCAGTCAGGTACCTTGGAGTCATCATTGACAAGGGGTTTACCTGACAGAAACATACTGATATTTTGAAAACAAAATTCCAAACTACCTTTCGGCAGCTTTATCCTTTGTTGTGCAGAAATTCAAAATTAAGTTTGATCAACAAGATTTGCAATCACCTACGCACGCGCGGATTGGTGTTTTCTTGCCAAGACGCACATGCAGAGACTGCAAGTCCTGCAAAACAGAACCTTATGCACAATCACTAACGCTCCTTGGTACGTGTCAAATGAGATCATTCACAGAGATCTTGATATCTACGGGATTATGTGAAACATCAGGCACAGCGGAGTTATAATCAAGCCAAATCGCACAGCAACTGTCTGTGACATGATTCAGTAGACTACACAGTCGAGTAAGTTCGCAAACATTCCAGGCCGCGCCTCGCACTGTGATCAAAATTAAATTGTGAATTTCAGACCAACCAAAATTATTCCAGTATACAAAATTGGTTAAAATCATTTTTTGAAGTTTACAAAATTATTCGAGTAGTCACAGCAATACTGCTTGAGCTATTTCAAATCATTTCAGATCATTTATTTTAAATTGAACGGGGAAATCAAAAATAATTTTTATTTGGCAAAAAACCATTGGCGTACCATTTTCTTCCTAAAAAATATCGAAGTCAATACCCGTACGCACGAAAATGTTATAGCTAAAAACTATTTTTGCATTGAAAAATATGCAACTTTATTAACTTTCACCACGTACTAAATATCAGTGAAATATCTGAAGCGGTTCTGAAAATATTAATTAATTTCCATTTTTTTCCTAAAATTTCAACACTCCGAGTTTCTGTAAGGAAACATTTTTGGACCATAGTTTATAAAGCAAACTAACATTAATTTTTCATGTAGATTCACACCCTTAAATATTCGCATATCATTAACGAACACCCTGTATATCCGGATATGCGTGTATTAAAGATATTTCTATAATTCTAAGTTTTAAGCACACATGTACGGGGAAATATATAATACCAAAAATATGTCCAATAGGTGCGTATAATTACTGAGATTCGGAGAGTATAAACACACTAACGCCAAAAAAATAAGATCGACTATCTGCCATCCGCTACAACCCCAAATGTTTTACCCCGACAAAAATTCTTCTAAAATTGATCAGGAGCTTCTGAAACGTCGAAAAACGAAGTTTGGACGATTTTCACTTTCTCCCTCTTACCGATTTTCAAAGCTTTTTCGTTCTTGCCATGCTAGTAACATTGTCTGAAACTTTCATGAAAGGACGATAAGCAAAGAATTGGCGGACAGAAAGACAGACAGACCGTCAGACGGAACCACTGCAGACCGACCGACAGCAGTGGCGGATTTAGATGGGGGACGTCTGACAATTGCTTTTGTAATATAACACCAATGTGTTGCTTTCTGACATATCATGGCGACAGAGGCATACTAACTATAAGTTATAGCTATAGGAACTCAGCATTGCGATTTTTGGTATCCTTTGATATATCAAACACTGTCCCTCTTCGACATCACTTACGTTTACAGCACAATTCTTGGGATTTATACGTACTATATATACGAGTATTGTGACTTGTGACAACTCTAAGTCTAAGCAATATGTATATTAGCTATACAGATTGCACTTAAAAAGTGATTTATGTTCTGTTTGTTGCTCAATAGTAATTTGAAAAGTGTGTAATGTCTGACTGATTTTGTTAAGGGTTCGTGTTGCAGCGAAGCACTATTAGTCTAATCATATTAGACGAAGATACCCCTGGTTTGCGAAATAATTCTAAAGTCTGGTTTTATTGCTGCAAGTTGCTCAAAGGGGTATACAAAACATGGACGCATAAAATGGGATACCAATTTTTGTGGGAAAACATTTTATTCGACAACAAAGAATAAGGAAACGTGTTTTTTTTTATTCAATCTAAATAATTGGCAGAGACTAACAGCAAAAAAGTTATCGCCGAAAACCAAGGCAAACTGCAGGCCTTGGCACGTGTTGGTAATGCGACGACGGTTTCTCGCAGATATTTGAAATTGTTCAAATTCGTAGGATTGGTACTACTAAATAACCACAACAAAATAGGAGTAAATTGATCAAGTAGTTTGTGAGACTTTCCAATTGTTTATCCGAAGACTTCTGTTTTCTGGCCATCACTACTAATTTTTTTGAGCCATATACAAGGGTTAGTTCAAAGAGCATTTTATAGCAAAATACACTAGTTTACCTTGCCGATATGAATCGAAAACTATTCCGGAAGATAAATGTTATTTTTATGCAAAAAAAGGATGGGTTACGTTTTTCATCTAAACAAATTCAAACATTTCGTATTTGTGAGTAACTCGCAACAAAATATGATAGACACATCCGCTTTGTTTAATAGTAACGTATGTATACGAATATCGTAGCGCATTTGCTCAATTGCACACAAATACGAAATGTTTCAATTTTTTTACACTCCAACCACCACGAAGGCCTAACGCCTAAACACCCATGGGGCACCGTGGGGCTATAGGTAGATACAGAGGAAAGGGGGAACGCCACACGGACTCTGGCGAGGGAACACGTGTGCATGCAACAGACCTACAGACAATCACAACATCCATAGCCAAGGGAAAATTTTCTCCTGGGACGGGATTCGAACCCGCACAGCGCACGGCGACTGATCAGGAGACCGAAGAGTCTACTACTGCGGCCACCGCTGCTTTGCTTTGAAGAAAAATACGTAACCTTTGTTTTTCGAATAAAAATAGCATTTATCTTTCGGAATGGTTTGTAATTCAAATCGGCAAGGTAAATTAGTGTATTTTTCTGTAAAATGCTCTTTGAAATAATCCTGTATACAGCTCAATAAACTAGTAGTGATGTCCGGAAAACAGGTGTTTTTTAATATGGCGGGTTAACCACGCGCCAACTTTGTCAATGATGCCACGTTAGGCGCGCGATGAGTTTCGCAGCTGTCTTGCTTTTTGGTTTCCTGAGTATACACTACGCATTTTTTTATGATGCAGTGGAAACTTGGTTTCCTAGGTAAATGGGATGAATATATTCTGACTGAAATCTTAGGTAAATGGGATAATATATCCTGACTGAAAAGTCAATTTGTTGCTGAGACCTACAAAGACCTTTTTACTGATTTTTACTTCTGTTCCAGGCTAACTGTGAATCAAATCCTAGGGTTATCGTCCCATCTGCTTCAAACAAATACCTTTACGTGAAAATAAAAGGGCTCATCATGAAGCACTCCAGCAGAATGGGAAATAATACGATCAGGACAGTGAATACCGGACAAAGGTGTGATATCGCGACTAGAATCATAGTAAGTAATGTCACTTTTGGCATACCATCTCTTTACCTTCATAGATGATGTACTTTGCAAGATTTTATTCACCTTAACCTGTTTGTTACTTTGTTAGTGTGTTGGACACATCTTGGAACTGAATGTTGAACCAGTTAACCTTAACCAGTTGAGGCGGAACTTTATATACACGTTAGGTTCGCATGGCAATACAAAATGAATAAAATGTCGTCATTTTGTATCCAATACGCCGGATGCTAAACAGTAGCGATTTATCATTTCCATAGTAACCTCTATTATATGGGTACCAAACGAAAAAGGCTCGGTGAAAGGAGAGTGACGCCATTCTAAGCACAATACGTCGCAAAATGGCGATTGATCATTTCCAAAATAACCGCTATAACATGGGTACCCCCATTCGAGGCTGCGCTTCGCGCTGTGATCAAAATCAAATTGTAAATTCAGACCAACCAAAATTACTTCAGTATACAAAACCAATCAAAATTATTTTTTGCTGTTGCAAAATAATTTGAGTAATCAAAGCAATAATGCTTAAGCTATTTCAAATGATTTACTTCTTTTCTTTGTTCTATTTCTTCCTTCCTTTCTTTCCTTCTTTCCCTTTTCCCCTTAAACATGTTTGGTATCTGGGTAGCCAGACCTGACAGACTAACAGACCGACGAGACTTTTAACTAAGAGCAAAGGTCCACCGGACCGCTCTGACGAATAATGACGAATAGTAACATGGGTACCGAATGAAAGGTCTTGATGGAAGAAACACAACAAGCAAAATGGCGTCATCATAAATTCAATATGGATGCCGTTGCAAAATGACGATTTTTAATTTCCATAGTCATCCCTATAATATGCAAAGTGGTGTCATTACAAATCCAATATGGCGGATACCGCAAAATAGCGAAAAAAATGACGGACGTCTAATATAACAATGCGATATTATTATGACGTGTAGCTGAACAGGTGACGAAACCGGGAGATGGACACGAAAACTTTGTAAGATATCGACGGAAACCCATCGAATTAGGTATCGATTGATTCCTCTTGACAAATAATCTGATGCTAGGTTTTGATGATTAAGTTAGCCAACTGTATCAGTAAAAATAAAAGTAACTACTCATCCATAATCCCTATATAAAATTTTAGCTTTTTAACATTAGATATGTAGTACGTTAAAAAATACTAAACGACATAGAAAATGCAATACCGACTAGGACTGCTGAAATTTTGAGCATGCTTTTAAAAGTCTTAGTTCTACTGATAAATAGAAAGTGATTAAAATTTTAACTCGAAATTTCACAAAATAACTGAGATATCCAACCTTAATGTTAATAATGTATTAAAGCAAATTTTGATCAAAATACAATAGATAATTCTGGGTGTTGTATTTTATATGTCACTTAGTATATATAGGAAAGCATTATTTTTTTGAGCAAGAATACTTATGGATACATCTATATCTCACGTATTCATGATTTATATCGATCGGAATCTTATAATCTAAATAGAATAATAAGTTTTACGAAGTCCCATTGATAAAATATATGTAAATCAGATACACAAGTTATCAAACCAGTTATTTTAAATAAATACTGAAAAGTAAAAAATAAATAAAATAGAAAGTACCTACATTGTTAAAAACAAGCTTTTGTTCAGCTGTTAAAACGAACAAAAGATCCAACGCTAGCCCTGATGCTAAGGGTACATTTTTTCACACTGTCACTACTATATATTACAAGTATTAGACTGATTGCTTGAACAATTGTTCTCATTATAGGTACATACAGCACTATACACTGCCGTCATCTGTCCAACATCAAACTCGTACCGCGACCATATGGTAGAAGTATTCTCAGAAGGTTGGCATTTAAAATCTGACCACAACCATGTCATTATTGGAGACTTGGCATTGGACAAACTGGAGATAGATAGGCTAGGCAAGGAACTTCCTAGAACTATTGTGGTGGAGTTCTATGGAAAAGAAGAAGGGGAGTATGTTGTAAATTGGTTGGAACTCACAAGGAGGTATGTAAGAGGGCAGGGTGAGAAGTTCTCGGCCTGATAATGTAACATTGCGATTTTTAATTAAAAAATCATTTAACTTATTTAAATAATCTACTTCGCTTTGAGCATCCTTGCTCTTACGTTTCTCTTTAACCGAACCCAAAGCGCCTTCCATAAAGGAGTTTCTTCAAATTTGGGAACAGGTAGAAGTCTGAGAGTGCCAAATCAGGAGAACATGATGAAAGATGATCTTTTCGTCTTCAATCCAGCCAGCCTCTCAGGGATTTTTCGGATCCAGTTGAACAAGGAGACCTATTGAAAGTAATCAATTAACAGAATCCCTTTCAGATTCCAGAACACACTGACCATGACCTTTCCGGAAGATGCAATCGGCTCACCTTTGGCACCTAACCACCGGCTTCTATACACTGCTGGTAATGAATGGGTACAAATATTGATTAGGTCATTTGCGCATCCGGTTTGAATCAGCATTCAGCAAATTCGGTACCCATCTTGTGTATATCCTCATCATCTCCAGCTCTTCCATGATTCGCATCCCTTCTTCCGATATTCCCCAGGCCTCACATGCCTATTGTTTAATACGATCTCGTGGACCTTTTAGATGGTTTCAAGTGTAGTTCACGTAATTTTAACAAGCGCGGATCCAGGAGACCTCATGGGAGCCAAATCCAAGCAGCACTTTTCAAGTTGTAGTGGGACCCAGCATTAGCGGACAGACAGACAGACCGCCAGAAATAAGTGACGTGGTTTTTTGGGTTGTCAACCAACATCCAAAAATCATGCTTCATTTTCAAAATTGTTCGCGATTACAATACTTTCTCGCTCGCAGCCATGGGAATTAAAACACTGTCCTATTATGTGAAAACAATAAAATTCCTTCTTTTGCAGACGAGACATCCCGCCCAACGGCCTGGGTCTCTTCCTTATGAAAGCAGATGACTGCAGGTATCGATGCCCAGAACTAGACGCCTGCATCAACCCATCTGTGTGGTGCGATGGAATCGAAGACTGCCCTTCTGGGGTCGATGAGGCTCTGTCACACTGTTCATTTATTCTCAACTTACCCCCGTTGTACCTTGCTTTGGGTATTTCGGGGTTGATTGTTATTTTGTAAGTATGCTTAGTATTTTTATTGAATATTGTGTTGAGACGACCAAAAAATCAACAACTCATGGAAGAATATCTCTGACACTGCTCATTTATTCTCAATTTACCCCCGTAGTACCTCGCTTTGGGTATTTCGGGGTTGATTGTTATTTTGTAAGTGTGCTTAATATTTTTATTGAATATTGTGTTAAGACAAGCAAAAAATCAACAATTTATGAAAGAAGCTTCACACGGTCATGCGACGGTTTTCTATAAATGTTTGTTCCGCGTTTGATGACCGAACTGCAGAAAGAAAATCGCGTAGAAGCTTTTCGGGAATTCCCTGTTTCCTTTATTTCATTTTTTCGATTTTAGTGGACTTTTGGTCTTACCGGTTCGTGTCAGGATGGAATGATCGTCCTAAAAAAGGATCTAAGTCTTACAACTAGAAACCTTTAGGTAGTTTTTCTGTCATCAGTAAGGTAATCAGTAGATATCAGAAGCTTCTGGAGTATCTTAAGCATCATGGCTAGATTAACAACAGACGTATGGCTGTTGGCACCAGGGATGAGGGACCTCCTAGCTTACGTCACGCAACTGTGGAGTAAGCTCAGCCAATCATATGGTGAGGCTCATGTCGATGCTCTTGATATCACGAAAAAATTCGATTAGGTGTGGCATGCTGACCTCAAATGCAAACTTTTATTCTATGACTCCCCTAAGAGGCTTTGCCGATGGTTGGCTGACTTCCTTTCTGGTCGTAAGATATCCATCGTAAATGACGGATTCTCCACTTCATGTCACAACGTAAACGCGGGTGTCCCTCAGGGATCAGTCTTGGCTCCGACACTGTTTCTAAGACATATCGATGACCTATACTATCAATACGATCCTCAATTTTGCTGATGATAGTGCTCCAAATGCTAGAATTCTTAAGCTCTAGATCGATCTCTGCAGTTGAGCTGGAGGGACGAACATTAGCAGCGGCTTCCTCTCTGGAGGTTATCGCAGTAGTGTACCTTGACTAATAAAAAGCGCCATAGAGCGCATTCGGTTTCGATGGATGATTGAGTTACACCAGAAGATCTCTATTTCGGTTGGTTGGACATCAGATCACTGAGGACTCGATCTATCACGGACACACCTCATCAGTCGCGGCCGCTGCTGGGAACAAGCTAGGCTATTTTTTGTTTAGTGCTAAGAAGTACTTTTTCCACAAATTCTCCTCACTCTGTGAAAGGCCCAGATAAGAGTACTGCTAACATGTTTGGGGTGACATTATCAGCGCCTTTCCGCGCCGACGGCGATCTGACTCTCTTCTATCGGTATGTCAACAAGCTTTGCTCAAAGCTCTTCTCCATGAAGCCGCCGCACGATAACCAGACAGACCCGCCTGACTTCAGCCTCCCATCTCAACCTTGTCAAACTCCGTCCATCCAATGCTGGCCGGTACGCTTGCTCCTTTATCCCTAGAGTGTCGAGATTGTCGAACAATCTGCCTGAGGAGACTAAAATTTGTGTCATTAACCTCCTGCCACGGTGCCTCGGTATTTGAGTTTCTGCATAAAAAAAGAATAGTCAAAAAGTAAACTATCACTACTACGGAAATATTTTGATACCTTTGCGTGATAAAATTCGCAAAAAGAGACCAGAGTTTTGGTGACACAGCTCATGGTAGCTTCACCACGACAATGTACCAGTTCACGCAGGCTGGTACCCTAGTTTTATGTCAATAAAATCAAGTGACTGTCCTTCCTCAGCCTCTATAGTCTACGAATCTTAATTATTTCCTAAATTGGAACCAGTGCTGAAAGGACGCCATTTCGACAACATTGATAACATTAACTTTGACGGGACTCCATTGTCTGATGACCGCTAATTCAAAGCACATATGTTTCAATTTTTGTTTATTATTCGACTTTTCGGCCACTATGGTGCCCTTTTTAAGTACTATGCCAATTAGTCTTAATATATCTTTTTATTTGTCTGCCAGGTGACTGTTCATTTATTTTTTATTTTTTTCATTACTATACAGTGTGTTGCGATAATAGCCTGAATGGTCGTGAACAAAATGATTGTCATTTTACTTGAAAAAGCCATAGTAGTGGCCGAAACGTTGTACAATAAACAGTAATTGAAACATATCTGGTTTCATTCAGCGGCCAGACAAACATGAAGTCCCTTATCACAAAAACCACAGGATAAGTTATAAGTGTTACAATTATCAGGCATGTTTGTCAAAGCGGAAACATCACTGGGAATAGTGCGCGAATAGGGGAGGAGAATACTTTTAAGAGGATAAGAACCAATAATTAGTGAATTAAAAAATAAAAATTTGAAAAACGAAGGTCAGGTCACTTTTTCTGTCATGTATTTCGTATTTCAGAGTAACATCTGTTTTGATGATCTGGAGAGCCTGCAAACGACGTAGACCGAGGTCAATCTTGCAAACACGCTTGAAAAGTCTTTCATCTTCAGATACGGGCATTGTAGATGAAAAAGGAATAATTTGCTGACATTCGGACAATTCTGTACGGTAAGTAGTGTTGAAATTATATTATTCATACCAGATGTTTCTAATTCAACCCTTGACAATGGGATCCCGGAAACGGTAAAAGATCTGAAGTCGACTAAATTTGTGCTTTTAACTTTTTTAACTTGCAACCGCAAACTTTGGATGTTTACAAACCCCCCAAAATTCATTCGACAGTACCAAGAGGAAGAGGGCAATATCATTTTGATATAGGCAGGTACAAGAGAGTAAAGTAAGTATTCTAAAAAAAACTGACTTTGTCGGAGGTATCTGGCGACTAATTCAATCTAAACTTAAGAATGACGGCGGCCTCTTGCGAACCCCTTATATAGTTTTATACGTGGAGTACATAAAAGTACCTTAATTAATGGTTTCTGAAGCATTGTGGACAATGAGAAAAATGAGAAACAAGAGCCTAATAAATATATTACTCGACAAGCTTGATCGCGGGGCTCAATAAAAGAATCGTGACCTAAATTTCGGGCGTAGTTCTAACTGCTAAAAACACACATATGCTTTATTAATTTACAATCCTGGGAAAAAGCGTTCCGTAAGACCATGTCTCATTTTGGAGCGTATTGGTATGAAGAGCAGTCTGCCTTAAGATCGGTTTGGTGACAAACTAAGAAAATGGCACTTAGAAAGTTTCGTAAATCAGAATAATTCTGAAGACAAACGTTTGTATTTTTCCGTCAGAAGTGGGATTTCATAATAAATTGCACAAGAACATTGCAATTTTTTCTCCTATACAAAATAGCATCATTGTAATTTCCATAAGCTGTTTCGCTCCTTGTCCTCGTTCTGTCAGATGAATGCAGTATACAGGGCTTCGACCATTTAGATCTCGCAAACTGTAAGGGATACAAAGTCGCTTGAAGTGAGCAAGGTTGCGTATTTCGGTAATCAACAAAATGTCACTTAGAAGTTTTCGAAATTCATGTTAACATTGCCACTTTTTCTCTTCTACAAGATTCCATAGTAAGGTTCTTTTCTTATCCTCCAGCATCAACTTTATTTTTTCTTATGAACGTCATATTGAATTTTTGCAGAGATGATTAAAGTTTTTAGTTCTGATTCCAAAAATGTATATGATATACAGTGACATTGACAAACCTTAGTTATTTAAAAAACCAGAATTTCCTAGGTAGGCCCTCATTTGAGCGGCTTCGTAATTCTTACAGTTTCACAATGATGATGGTCGAATTTCAAACACCAGTATTATTCACCTTCCAAAAGTACACTACTATTTAATTGGTCGTGAAAATGGCAGCATATCACATGTTTATTCAATTGTACCACCAACTGAAGACAAGTTTTTTAAATGCGTGCTCGGACATTCACCTAATTTGTCCATCTTATCGTATACTGAAAATTTGGATTTAAAAAACAACTACGTGAAATAACACAGTTAGTTTGAGATAAAACAGCACCAAAACGTAAAAGTTGAAGGAAAAGACTCACTATTTATTTGGTATATTTGAAATACTGCGCTGTCACATGCTTTGTTTGTAATTACTGCTTGAAGTTGTCACTATTAGATTCAAAAACACGGGCTTACTTTTTCTTACATTTGCAACATTTGAGGCTTTCTAGGTCTTCTATACTACTTCTACTACACCAAAGGATATACCGAGGGCAGCGGCAACGTTGTGAACACTGAAGTAGGATCGCGGAGTATCAATAAGATCTTGAAAATGCTCACAGTAAGCTCACATCAAATCGATAACTACGTTATTGCTGTAGAAATATGTGAATTGCGGTTTTCAAATGCGGTTTGCTTATAAGCTAGGTTAACCTACTCACCGCGCGGCGCCTCATTTGGATACTGGCATACATAGTCATAGTACACACTAGCCGTAAGAGGGGAAATGATTCTGATTTATGGTGCCCAAAATTAATGTACTCGGCAAACTGCCGTAACGTTTAACGCGTGACATCCGGGAAAGATAACTTCGCATAGGTATGTTTTATACCTTGTTACTAAATTTACTCAAACTGGATATGTTGCAAATAAAAAAACGTGATCATCGGAAAGTTTTGGATGAAGCCGCTCAAGTTGAAGTTTTGTGTCGTTTTGGAATAAATCCTAATACTTCATTACGCAAAATTGTAGCTGCGTTTGGTATTTCATTAGGCTCTATACACACAGTTACTAAACCCCATAAATTTCATCCATTCTGAGTTGAGATTGAGTGGAATGCATCGATTAATGATAGTACCATTCATGTAAAGAATATCTGCTTCAGTGATAAATGCAGATTTTAGCTAAAGGGATTTGGTGATAAGCGTAACTGCAGATATTGGAGCAATGAAAATCCTCATGCCTTTGTAGAAGGGCTTACCCAGTACCCCCAAATTAATGTATGGGCAGGCATTTTAGGAAACAAAGTGATTGGATCATTGTTTATTAATGGGAATTTGAATAGAGACATTTATTTGGATATGTTGGAAAATACCATCAATCCGCTTATTACTGAAACGATTGAAAACCAAATCGAAGAGAATGGAAACCCTATCCTTGATGAGGCTGAAATATATTTCCAGCAAGTTGGCGCCCCTCAATATGTTCTTCCGGTTCGGCAATGTCTAGACGACGAATTTCCAGATAAATGGATAGGACGAAGAGGGCCTATCGAATGGCCTGCTAGATGCCCTGAAAACTATTATGTTTACTACCCATCCTGAAAGTTAGGATGAGCTCCGTCAACGCATCATCGAAAGTTGCCATGCTATCCCACAACATGTTTTTGAAAATGTCCGTCAGGAATTTGAACATCGCCTATACCATTGTTTATATATATATATATATATATATAAAGAGATATTTTCGTGTGTTTTTCTTGTCTATCTGAACAAATCAAGATAAATAAAGATTTTTCTAATGTTCTTGAAAACAAATCGATTCATTTAAAAAAATCAAACGTCAAAATAAAGGACTCCGAAAGACCTTTCAAACAAGCTATTATTCGATACCCCTTGTCATTTAAAATTTTCAAGGGGATGACCCTGGGGACAGAGGGTGAAAGGGAAGTGTAGCTTTTGGTTAAAAAATCTTTTGACGTGTTTTGGCGCTTTTTTTTAATCGGTGGTTTTCGATAAATCCGTGAAATGAACACCTTATACATATATGTTACTAGGAAAACTTGCTTATCATTGCCTGACCTATGCGCTTTGCAAAGGGAAGGTCTAATCTTGAGGAAACCCTCTATAATAAGCTTTACATCTGTTATTTAAGTCCAATGTCAAAAATACTCATTTACTTTGATAATCAAGATAATCAGATAAGGTTATGTGAATTTGTGGGAAGTACACATGTGTGAATCTACTTGACACCTTTTTGTTTTTTAGGTACGAGGAGGTGGACAGAGTGACGACCGTCTGACGTCATGATGACGTCATTATGGCCATCTGGAGCTCGCACCATACAGAATTGTTATTGAAAGTGATCAAAGCGGTAGTAGTTATATTATTATCACGTGGAGGGACTTCCTTTTTATACACAAACGACGACATTTAGAATTGTTAGCATCAGGACCAACAAATTTTTTATAAATTAGATGATTGAGTCGATTGGAAATGGATGAAAACTGGAAAAGACGCGATTTGAAATAAGTGATATGCAGGTTCTAACTACGAGGTGGCAATACCCAAGTAGATGAAATTCTTTTATCATGATCTTTTATTGATAGAAGTTGTGTATGAAAAATGTCAGTTCCATCATAAGGCTCGCCATTGACAAAAAGATATTACAGATTTCATCACTGAACGTAATACTTCCCTGGAACTGCATCTGCAAAATAGCAGTCTTTTCCAGTAAAACATTATCATCCATCTTCTCGATATTTGAGCGAATTTTTAGAGTTGTGATTACTATAGTCTATATTAGAAATACTTAGAGCTTTCTTTCAATTATAGGATAACTGAAAAGAAATTGAATAGTAATAGTAATTGAAAATTTGGTATCGCCACCTTTGAAGTATCAGTCAACAAGAAAGTTGTAAATATTGAAAACGATTCGTTTAAATGAACTAAGCTCGAAAACACCGCCGATGATTAAAGAACTAGCCTATATCTGAGAACATTGATATCAAAATGTCAAAAAATCTAAAGCAGATGAGGAGCATTAGGCTATGTTTTGAATCTACCTTAATCGGAGAGCTTAGTCGATTCTTATAAGAAATAACTTTTTATCCTTATGATGAAAGTTACTAGGAGTATGATACCAATTCGAAAGAATCAAAGATTCGAAGGCACTGTACAATGTACAATGACTGATAACACTTGTCATGTAAATAATATTAGTCAATAGTTATAATAGTCAGGATCTCATGGACTATTTTGCGTTCATCATAATTGAGGCGTTTTATGTGTGTCTTTTGTTGCTAACTTCAAATATGTTGATAAATGCTACAAGTAAAGTGGCTCATGGGACTCCACACTATAATTTTAGTTATCTAGAGAAATTTTAGGAACAAATTAGGGCATGTTACTCGAATATTTCTGCCAAAAATCGGAACATTTTTTTACTCGGAAAATTGTAAATACCTTTTAAAACAGCGGGCATTGAGAAATAAAAAACAGAATGTGATGGATTCAGCTATGTACTCTTGTAATTCTTAAATGCACTCTGTTCGCTGGGAGCGAAGTGCATACATCCTCCGACAGTCAAATATGTTATAGGCGTGGTATCTATAAAAGTTGCAAATATTTTAGTGTCATCATTTTTTACCAACACCAAATCGACTAAAAACCTCTCATTTTCATTGATATCCGATTATCTTCGTATTCCACGTGTATTAAGCACAAACATTTCTGTCCGACAACCGCTAGGTCTCAAGGACGACTTTTGAATGAACCGCATTGCCAGAGGTGGGTCTAAGTGTTCTCTACAAGATTTCAAGACCATTAGTTGCAATATTGCAGAAACATATGTGTGTAATCGCAAAAAAATGGAAAGTGATATATTTTCTGGATATCGCGCGGCCTGCACATCACAAAAAATCATATAACTGTTTTGCGTCGGTCTTTCTGTCTGTCTGTCCGTGGATCCTTCGCCACACTATATCTAGAAAACTGCTACTAGAATTTTGACGAAATTTAGGGGCAAGGTTAATGCTATGTCAAGTATGAAAAACTTTTACAGGCCGAGAAAATCGATTCAGTGCCGCTAGAGGTATGTGCATTAACACGTTCACTGCCGATGACTCCGATCGGAGCCAATCGGTGATCTTCGCCATGTGCCGACGGCTCCGATCGGGGTCATCGATTTTCGTGAGCAGTGATACAAACCCAACTAACAATTATCACTTCTATTAGAGTTGCAAGAATGATTATACAGTATTCCTTACACAGCATGGTATACTGTAAGAACATTAGCAAAACCCTCTTAGAACACCTATACAAGCGTAATGGGCACACCTAATAGGACACTTCAGTCATTTAAGAGGTTGTATAAGGGCTGCAGGTAACAGTTATACAACTGAAGTGTAGGTGTAAAGTGTAAGCCTCTTGCAGCCGCTATAGGACACTTGCGTCAGTGCAAGATTCAGTTTTTGTCAACTATACAACTATTCTGTTACGTGATTCTACTTTATTGCAACCAAACTATTTCTTATGTATTGTATAGACGAAGTAAAGAATATATAACTAATACATTACAGTCGTCTTGTTTACTTACATATCGGTCATTGTGAATTTCATACACAGGTATATGATAGACTTCTACACTGTGATATAGGGCTATTGAGTTACTTGCGCAGCAAATTTTATTGTGATTATCGTGCAAAGTAGTCACGCAATTTCTATGGGCTTCGTATTTGATTCATATTTTGATAATGATCAAAAGTATGTCTGGATTTTTAAGATGGAAAACTGAACTTATCTGCGTTAAATCTTCCACAAATCCTATATTTAGGCACAATTACACTAATTTTTATCAATTTATATCTGCAATTTCGAAGTGAAACATAATTATTTAATATTAAGTAGAGGAATACATGTTTGCCCAATATGGCGGGTGGTTGTGTATAATCATGGCATCGTCCATGTTGTCTTTAGTTTATTAGAATACTTTGGTGTTGTCTGCAGGTGTTATACAACAATTTGACAAATGTGAAATACCGACAGAGTCGAATGATTTACCCAGAATGTGTACCAGATCTATATCTTCTGTTTGAACAGTTGATAGAACCTTTTGAACCAATAATGCCTGCGTTGTTTGACTTAAAACATTGGTTGTGGCATTTTAACAAAAATATGACAGCAGAAAGTTAGGTTATGCTGAAGTTGTATACCAACATATTTAGCATATGTACAGCCTTTAACAGTTACTAAACAACAGTCGTATAAGTGCTTCCGTTGGGAGCAATTTGTTGGCTAAAGTAGTAAATTGCACAGCAAAACAACAAGGCTCCGGTTTGTTTTATGAACGTTACCATGGATGCCACAACACAACCATTTTGACTAACGTGCAAATATGCCGTATAAATTAGTTGTATAAACGTTTAAGCAACAGTTAAAAATTTGCAATATAAGGTGTTGTATACCTATGCTATAAGAATATTTTAAACACCTCATTTTAGAGCAAATATGTTGCAGAAAGCAAATTTGCATTTCACACAACATTAAGCCAGCATTTTGGTGTTCAGGCAACAATAATAGAGAGCTTTTATGGCTGAACGGTTATTTTACCAAAAGCTTATAACACTACTTTGCTGGTTGGGAATAATCCTGGTTTCAATGCCGCCGGCTCCGATCGGAGACAATTTTTTTTCTATACCAATATACACCTTTTTCAAAATCGATACCAATATAAATAACTATAAATTATTACATATACCAATATTAGTCTTATTTGAGAAAAAAGCATTTGGCTATTGGGAACAGTTAATCCAGTCTGGGTAGGCAGCGAACATATTAAACGAAAAAAAAAGGTCAGATATTCCTGAAACCCCGTTTCTTTGATGTTTCGGACGCACCTTTTGACATTCTTTGTCATATTATCGCACATCTCGAATCAACATTAAGGGTATTACCAGAAGGCCGGGCTCAGGGAATCCGCACTGAAGCAACCAGAATTCTACAGAAAGCTAAGCCACCTAAAAGCAACTTAAAGTCGAAAGAAGTGAGCGCAATAAGAGATCTGAACAGAGACAGGAATAATCTGGTTTTACCGGCGGACAAACTGAATGCCACCGTGGTCATGAACACCGACGATTATAAATCCAAAATCAATGACCTCTTAGATCCGAGAACCTACTAACAGCTAACCAGAGACCACACGCAACGCATTGTTAGAAGAACAAAATCTCTGGTACAAAAGTCGAGCCTTGAAGATGAAATTTAGAAAAAAGTGAGCAGTAGGTCCACGAATCTATGGCTTACCAAAGATCCACAAAGACAACATTCCGTTGCGTTCCATTGTTAGTGCTATAGGTTCACCGACATATTACCTAGCAAATACCTCACAACCCTGCTTCAACCACACATCAGGGACTCTGCCCATTTCATGTGAAAAATAAAGGAAATTCATTTCGAATAAAACGATATACTAGTGAGCTTTGACGTAGTATCGCTCTTTACGAAAGTACCAGTTGATGCTGTAATGGAACAGATTACCCGCATTTGTCCAGAGGACATTGCCAATTCATAAGACTACATACTTCACGTCTGACAACACTATATACGAACAAACTAAAGGTGTAGCAATAGGCAGCCCTTTGGGTTCAGTGGTAGCAAATTTCTTCATGGATGATCTTGAACAACATGCTGTCAGCAGTGCACCATACAATCCCAAAATATTGTTTTGATATGTCGATGACACTTTTGTAATATGGATCCACGGACCTGATAAACTCAATGAATTCCTCACTGATACCAATAATATGCATAACAACATCAAATTCACCATGGAGCTAGAGGACCACGGCAAACTGGTTTCCTTGGACGTATTGCTAACCCGCTGAGATCGGCAAAAGATGTCGCCTTCGGGAGTCTATCGCATACCTTGTACTTGTGGAAGTGTGTACATCGGAACAACAAAACAATCAGTGAATACAAAGCGAACTGCCGTCTGAGTCAAATTGAAAAATCTGCTGTAGCCGAACACACACTCTTCGAAATGGACCACCGTATTAAATTTGAAGAAACCCAGGTCATTGCCTAGCATACCATGCTAGATTATACAGGGAGGCTATAGAGATACACAAACACACGGACGACTTTAACAAAACAGAAGTATCACTAAAAGTGTACAAAACCTGGCTACCAGTATTAAAAAACACAAAAATTGCGTCATCCAAATGGCAAAACAACAGCCGGGTCATCCCGAGCGCGGAGGTAGCCGAGCATTCCCGAAGAACTCTCCCCACCACTCGAGCCACATATAAATATGAGCTAAGACCGCGGAGATGTCAGTAGTTCACAGGACTCCAAACTATGAACATCCTCTAAAGATGCCAACCACTCGTGTTGGCCAAACGCCAAGCAAAATATTTTACGATAACCTAACTACCCAAAAAGCAACCAAATAACATCAGTAAAAGACGTTCTATTATGAAGAAGTGTCTGGTCCCCGTGATATTACCCACCGCTTGTCAACATTGAAACAAATATTTTGATTTACATTGGTATTTACAATAATTATGGTCAAAGTGTAAGCACAAATTCATGTTATATTTGTACAAAGCTAACAATTTTACTGTTAGTAGCTACTATTATAGATTAATCCCAGTTATATAAACACATAAAATTATGGATGTCATATTTAGTCTGTTAGAAATTCATAATTAAAATTGCATGACTAATTGGTAGGAGGTACAGAATCAATCTAATTCACGCAATTTTTTTGGTCCATGATAGTGCACACTTTATTGAAGAAAATACTTGAAAAAGCGTCACATTTGTAAGACAGAAAGTAGAGCCAGTAAGACCGTACGTCGTGGTGAAATTATAATCTTGACGCTCAGTGTAGTTTTAAAAAATACAGGAGACGTAGCTTGAATCGATCATATTGGAAACACCACAATCTTTGAACAAATAACAAACCATGTGTTCATAAACCAAAAACTTCTCCGTGAAGTCATATCACTGTCAAAATATATGCATGCAATATATAAACACTGCCCCATATTTTAAATTTACATGTTTCTTGTTTATTTGCCTTCCATTCTAAAACTTAGCCAAGCAATTGTATATGTCAAAATATCTACTCTGTGATATTTGAATAAACTCACTATATTATGTTTAAAAGGTTTTCCAATAATAGTGTACCGATGTTGAAATGAAGTGGAGCTGTATGAGGTGTACATATTAACAACAATTTTTTTTCACTACTAACTTGGGAAACCGCCATTATTTACCGAATCCATCCAAAGAGCAGTTACATTTCTCCCCCCAGATAAATAATGATAATGAAAGAAACACTAAACATGCTGATTCGGTCAATCCGGCCACAGACAGCCAACCATGCACAGCTATTTCGTGCTTGTTTGGCAACTCATCGGCGTGGTCTAGGTTTGGTCTCTGGGACAAAACAAGAAAGTATAGCAACTATCTTCTATCAAAGGAATACAACGAAGTAACTTTGATTGGGGGTACCAGGATATTCAGGTAGCGGAGGAGATGAAAGAGTGGATGGGCTCGCAAGGAAATGATCATCCACACCTTTTACAGGCTAAGAACCTGCCTTTATGATGCCAAAACGCACAATAAGGAAGCAAGTCAAAGAATGGAGAATGGAGAGCAAACCAGCATAGGAAATATTGGCACTTAGTGACTGGATAGACATGAGAAAGAATTTATCTCGAGACAATGTCCAAATACGGCTGCGGAATTGCTCTCAATGAGTACAAACCGACTCCGTGAAGTTACAGGCATTGTAACAAGACATGATGGCCTGAAATAGCAAAATAGAGCTCCAGGCAATAAGGAAAAGGAACAGAATCAACCTTACATGCCTTATGTGAGTGAGAGGCGCTGGATCACAAGAGACAACGACTTTTCTGGAAACCAAAACTAGAACAGTACCGGCATTGAAACTGTACCAGCTGGTACAGAGCATTAGACTACTGGATAAATTCA